CTAAAGTTCTTTTACATTTCTTTTTCTTTCTGTAACCCCTAAAAACCTTTCTCAAGGTACAACAACTTAAATCCCATGCAACACGAAAATAAGAACCCCTTTCTCATTCATCATTTAAGATTTACATACACATCACCTTATACCCTCTCTTTCACATACTCAAACTTACGTAAAAAAAATCTCCATGCAGCATCCCCTCTTCTTCTAACTTGCTTACCCAAAACACCCCCAAAAACAACAAAACCTAAAACTACCCAATCTGGACTCATACCTAATACATATAACAGAGCATAATCCATAAAATAACACATATTATAAAAATATCATATAACATAATACATAAAGTATAAAATATTAAAAAATGAAGTCTGCACAGTGCAACCGAAGTTGGAAGTGTGGCCCCCCTAAACCGCGGTTCGAAGTGCGGTTGGGGGTAGTCAAAATTCGAAAATCAGCAATATAGAATCGGCGTTCAGACGACGGCATTCTTAACCGCAGCTCCAACGCCGGTTAAGGGTGTTTACGTGAAATATTAAACTAACTGGATGAGCTCTCTCTCCCACTTCTCTCCTCCAATATCATAGCACAACTCCTCCAATATCACAACACCACCATCATGGATAGACAAACCACATTGAAACTCTCAACTCTCAACTCAGAAAACAATCAAACAATAAAAGTGAAGAAAATACTACTGTGATGAAAGTGAAAAAATGTGAAGGAGGAAGGAGGTGCATGTAGGGTAGGGTTTATACAATCAGATGAAGTTTTAGGTTGTTGATAGGGTTGTTGGTCGTTAATTTTTATTTTATTCAATGATTTTGAATTTTTTTTATTTTATTTAAAATGACATATTTTTTCTATCTTCTTCAAAATAAACACTTATTTTTTTAATATAATCATACCTCTCTACATTATTATATTTTTTCTTTTCACCATATTCTTCCGTGGTCTTGTGTAATTTCTTAAAAAATAAATGGTTTATTAATTAAATTTAAATGATTATTATTTGATTAAAAATTAAATTAATTTTTTTTATTGTACAATAAAATCATAACATTAACTTCATATATATGTTTTACGTAATGACTTCAGTGCAACACTAAAATCGTACACGACTTTATTTCTTTATTTTTTTGACACGATTTGGGTTTATAAGTAATAAGTTGCTTTAGCATCTTAAGACTTCTCATTTTTTTTAAAAATAAATAAATAAAATTTACATAATTTTTGTAATCTCACATTGAAATTACACTAGTATAGTAAATTTTCCCAGAGGAAAGGATTGAGAACTCATTTAAGTTTCTAATTATTTTTTATAAAACATATATGTTTTAAGTAATGACTAAAATAGGTTTCTAATTGTTTTTTATAAAGCATATATCTTTAACTAAATGAATAGATTTTATTTAATTTAATTTATCAGTTGGGTTATACATTAATATTATTAATACTTGGAGTGGATAACTTTGAGATAATTAATTATTAATTATGATAATCAATTAAGTTACTTAAATAAGAAGTAATGAAATAAAATAGTTATTTATTTGTAAACATGTCACTTTTAAAATTTACAACTTTTTACATGTGTGTTTGTGCCATTGTATATGTATTTTTAAATATTCGATTATTGTAATTATTTTAATTTGGTTAATTTGATTTATAAACGATAAAATAAGACGATAAAAATGTTTAAAAATAATGAATAATTAATAAAATTATTAGAAAGAAAAATTTTAACTTTTGGAACCACAAATTATAGTACATAAAATAGAGAATGTAAGTTATAAAAGTTTTAAATTAGTAAAAATAATTCAATTATAAAAGTGAAAAAATTGAAATTATGGAAATATTATCAAATAAAATATAAAAAAAAATTAGTAAAAAACTTAAAGTACAAACTTATTACCAAATATTATCAAATAAAATATAAACAGTTTTTAATAAAAAAAATTAAATCAAATTTTAAAGTACAAACTTATTACCAAATAAAACAAATAAATTTTAACAAAAATTTTAATCCAAATTTAAAAAATAAAAATAAATTGGATAAATAGATAAGAAAGAGTAAAATTAAACTGAGAGTTTTATACAATTGTCCTTAAATTAATAATTATATTATTAAAGATAAAATATAAAAAAATAAAAAATAAAACGTGACAGAAAGGAGGGGGGTGGGGGGGGGGGGGGGGGGGGGGGTGGGAGGGGGGGGGGGGGGTGGGGGGGGGGGGGGGGGGGGGGGGGGGGGGTTGGGACGGGGGGGGGGGGGGGTGTGGGGGGGGGGGGGGGGGGGGGGGTGGGGTGGGGGGGGGGAGGGGTGGGGGGGGGGGGGGGGGGGGGGGGGGGGGGGGGGGTGGGGAGGGGGGTGAGGTGGGGGGGTGTGGGGGGGGGGGGGGGGGGGGTTAGGGGGGGGGGGGGGGGGGGGGGGGGGGGGGGGGGGTGGGGGGGTGTGGGGGGGGGGGGTGGGGGGGGGGGGTGGGCACGGTGGGGGGGGGGGGGAGGCGGGGGGGGGGGCGTGGGGGGGGGGGGGGGGGGGGGTGGGGGGGTGGGGGGGGGGGGGGGTGGTGGGGTTGGGGGGGGTGGTGGGGGATGGGTGGGGGGGTGGGGGGGGGGGGGGGTACACAGGGGGGGGGGTGGGGGTCGGGGGGGCGGGGGGGGGGGGGGGGGTGGGGGGGGGGGGGGGGGGGGGGAGGGGGTGGGGGGGGGTTGGGGTGGGGGGGGCGGGGGGGGGGTAGGGGGTTGGTTTGGTGGGGGGGGGGGGGGGTGGGGGGGGGGGGGGAGTTGGGTTGGTGGGGGGGGGGGGGGGGGTGGGGGGGGGGTTGTGGGGGGGGGGGGGAGGGTGGGGGGGGCGGGGGGGGGGGGTGGGGGGGGGTCTGGGGGGGTGGGGGGGGGGGGGTGGTGGGGGGGGGGGGTACATTACTGGTGGGTGGGTGGGGGGGTGGGGGGGGGGGTTGGGGGGGGTGGGGTTGGGTGGGGGGGTAGTGGGGGGGGTGGGTTTGGTGGGGGGGGGGGGGGGGGGGTACGCATTCTTTTATTATAGTGATTATAGTTATAATAGACTTACTATGACTTCTAAACTATTTCTAAAGTTGATTTACTAAAAAATACCATTATACTGGGAAGATATTAACGTGAATATGATACGAGTTAACAAAATCTATTACATCAATCACATACGATCACGTATAAAAACAAATAATACTTATAAAATAAAAGATTTATCATCGTAAAAAAAAACTAAAAAATCTTCAATTTTCAGAACCCTTAGATCTAACGTTTTTAGTTTGTTTGTCGTTTAATTATTCTATAATTTAAACTATTTAACCATTAAACTAATTAAATTATATTTTAAAAATCATATAACTAATACTGTTCACGACTATTAATAATAGGATTAACTTTTATAGTTGTTTTTCGTGTGCACACTTTTTTCCCCTTTACCTTTATTAACCAGTTTTTCAATCTTTATGATTTACAAGAAATCATCCATAATAAATAGTCATATCGAAAAATTAAAAGTTTTTTTATAAGATAATTGCAATGATTAATAAAATTGAAATATTTTATAACTATATATATATATATATATATATATATATATAAAGATAAGTGTATGTCCCATTCTCATTAAAATAATCAAGTAGTATGATACTTAATCAGAGTGAATAGTCTCCACCAATTGGAATAAGTCTAGAATTATTTTTCAAGTCTAAGAAATACTTTTCTTCAATCATATCTTTTCAAGATAAATTGTTATTAGTATATTATCTTACAATTTATTTTTATTTTTATTTTATATTAAATTAGATTTAACTTGTGTTGTGTATGGAACACACATTTATTTAGAAACATAGATATTAAATATTTTGATTATAATACGTATAATTATGCTAGAAATTTAACGTGTACCAAATTTTATTTAACCTTACGTTAAAATGAGGATAAAAGAACTTTTAAAATTACTTTTTAAAAAAATATAACTTTTCTCATTTTTTTTTTCTCTTCCATGAAGTAAAACGATAAAATCTTGCAAATTTTAAAAGCTACATTTTCTTTTGGTCAAAAGATACAGAACAAACAAAACAGCAAAATGAATGTTGTTAAAAAGTAAAAACTAGATCATACTAAATGTATAAAAAATTGTCGAGGTTTCATCCTACACCCACCCTACACCTCCAAGTTTTATATTTATCCTTGAATTAATGAAGTTTCTTAAAGATTAAATAAAGTGATTGATCAACTTATTAAATAATCTGACCATGTTTCATAGTTACTTGTTTATGCATCCTTCGCCTCTTGATCTTTCATTCATGAAATCTCTAATTCTTAAACGCATGAGTCTATTTGAAATCTCTAATTCTTACATAAATTTAACAATCCGACGCATATCTCCTCGAATATCAAAATCCGAAAACATGTACATCAAATATCAAAATCCAATGAAAAAGACCAAATCGATTTTCGAAATCCAATTGGTGTCTTTGCATTTCCAAATCTGATTCACTGTTGTTTTTACAACTTGTATATACAAATCCCTCTCCTTTCTCTCCAAACCTTCTACATAGAAATCCTAATACAACAACTAAAATCAATTAAGATTAAGGAAGAAGAAGCTCAACAGATGCAACAACACAAAAATTTTGATGAAGGAGAATCTCGTTAAAGAATAATCTGGTCAAAAAATTCTTTCACTTTTATTAAAAATTAATCACATCTTAATGATGACATTATAGGTATTTCAAAAAAATTTAGAAGTACAAGATGAAACCCTTGAAAGTATAGGGTGAAACCCTCAAAATTGCCGTGCAAACTAAGTTGATAACAACTGAACTACTGCTAAATTAAATAATTTAAACTGTGTAATCCCTTTAATCAATGTTCTTTCCGGAAGACTGGCCTAGTGAATTTTAGTTTAGTCGAACCAATGTTAGAATTAAATTCAACTTATGCATCTTGACCATTTGAGATGATCTAAGCACAAGTATGAAAGAAGGCAAGGTAAGCGAGAGCATAATTACAACAGGTAGAAGTTCCATTTTGTCCATTTCTTTTATACAAAAAAGCATGAAACTCTCTCCAGGACATCATAATCAGATATCTTCAACACTAAACATGGCATGCAGTGCCAGGTACTTCTAAAAAACTGTCCTAGATGCACTGAAAGGCTATATCTGTCATGTTTTTGTTTACCATATCGAATGCTTTATGCCAAGGCCATTGCAAGTCAAGATAAGGCCCTTGTAACGATTAAGATAATCCTACATCAAAAAATGTCAAATCAAACACAGTTATTCTTTGAGAATAAAACATTGTTTCAAAACACAACTCCTGTCTGATGAAGACAAACATTGCTTACAATGATATTGTAATCATATTCATAACGCATTCCGTTTATGTCATATTCCCTCCTTTTGACTGGATCACTCAAAACTGTGCAAAAAGCCAAATAGGTGTTAAATTATGACTTGAAAGAACTCATACAGCCCATCTACTCAACTGACAGAAATAAAGGTAGGGTAAAAATCAAATCTGGATGTGGTAATAATCAAGTGGTAGGGTCACATTGCAAATGCATTCATAAGCTTCAAACTTCAAAGCAGTAGCACGCTTTCTGGTTAAAAGAAGGAAGTTTCCAAAACAAGCATATAGGAATTTGAGCAAATTAGATGAAATTGGAGCTGTGATTAGAAGAAAAACTTAAATTTATTCCAATCCTTGTAAAGGAAAACTTATTTCAATCCTTGTAACTTCCAAATAAAATTCCGAAATAACTGCTTCAAATTACATGGAAACGTTTAGAAATAAATCACTAAAAATTCCCAAGTTCTCCCCAGCATCTCAGTGTTCTATTCATCAACTGGAACATATATAATAGTTCCTGTTCCCGTATTGTTATACGAATTATACTATCATCGTAACACAACAAAGAATAAGGGTGAGCAACCCAAAAATAATGCAACAAGAAAGTGTAAAAATATCCAATATACATCAAACTAATGCAATCAACAAATCACACCAACCAGATTAGCTCAGTCACATGCCACACCCGAAATATACCAATACTAACTAGTTACAACCCATGTGTCGTTCTCCCATACCTTATCATACAGAACATGTTCACCATAACAGGATAGTTTGCAGCTTCGGACCTATCTCCCCTGCTCTTTCAAGACTTACAAGTAAAAATTCCGCTACTGGTCACAATGGACACTATACTCAACTCGAACTGGAAACCTACGGACGAAACATCATTTCCTTTCTACCTCCTCGTAAAAAGAAAGGTGCAGTACTCAACCTCGGTCCCTTCCACCGCCCTTTATAGGCGAAGAGACCTATCTCTTTTACCACCTTTCAAAGGCGAATCCCTTGTGAACAAAGACACAACCTTCGGATTTACAAGGTACAGCCAGAGGACAGACTAACCACAATGACTATCACCCAACTCTCATCAATTCGTTTAAGCACAAGAAAAAAACGCACGATTTAGTCTCATCACCTACGAAACAGATCAATACAGTCTAGGACAGATTTGTTAACTACCACAAGTCTTATAAAATTGAGGGGCAGACGGGATTGACCATTCTCTATTACTTAGAGATACTCATGAATCCACAGCCTATTACCGTGGCCTTCCTGTGTCTAAGCAACCTAAAAACTGGGTTAATCACCTAGTCCTTCATGCTGGAAACTTGAAACAGTTCAGCAAGCATTGCAAGGCACTACTAGGTAAGGGATAACATACAATTGAGTTAAGAAAGAGACCACACAACATCTGCATTGTCAGTAGAAGAACTGGACATTTCCCTGAGTTCAAAAGAATAAATAAATTGCATAAGCCAAACATCATCTACTTGGCAGCATTGGAATTTATGTGAGAATGAGGCACCGCATTAGGCAGCAACATAGATAGGAAAAAGGAAGAGAAATTGGTTGTGGTTCTAGTTGTTCAATTAGACCATCAATAGGACTTTGCATCCATTAACCAATTGAGTGGTCTAGCCTTTTGACACCCAACCACCGAAACAACTAAAAAAAACCACAATTCACCTAATCATTCACGTGTTAGCTTTCACTTGACCCACCAAATCAAGCAATAATTTTCCCCCTCATTCACACAGTAACACGTCACGGTGTTAGCTTCTACGAATGGTACACACCCTTAGCCAATTGAATGGACCAACTCCTTGATATCACTCACCAATCCAGTACGGAATTAGATAAAGAGCAAGGCTTTAGACTTGACAAATAAGCACCGCTGAACCCAAGACAGCACCCTGCACTAATTCTATTTTTTAACCAAAAGAAAACCTAACTTAATTATATGTATACATATTTCCTAGTGTCCATGGACAATTCCTAGGCCTAGGGAATATTGGTTCTTCCTGCAGGTCCTGATGTCCTCGGCTAGGCACTGGCCAATATAATTCAATGAAAATAAAAAGGCTGGATGAACCAATTATAACACAAGGCAGGGCCAAGGTCAAGCAGCAGATAGTTTAGCGAGAGAATATGGTTTTTGTACGTGTGGCAGAGGCACTAAAAGCGAAATGAAAGGACTGGAAGGCTATACCAAAGCGTCAGGAGCATTTCTGCACAAAAAGGAAAGAAAACTGGGCCCTTAGACCTGCACCTGGTGCTTCTGTCATAGGCCACTTCTTGCACCAGCAACCAACTAGAAAAAAATGGGACTCCAACAATCCATAAACACCTTAGTTCACTGCTGCAGATTGGCTCAGACCAAACAACCAAAAACTAATGAAAGGCAAGGCGCAAACAAGCTGGAAACAAAACACCACAGCCACTGGTTTGGTCAAGAAGCACACACCACTGTCTTTGGTTGGCTGCACCTAACAAAACAGTGAAAATACAGAATAAAATCCTGCACCAACTATGTTATAACCTCGTTAAGAACCTGCAACCTAAACTGGTTTAGAGTCTAACTTAATCCTGCAACTAGGTTGTTGTACCAAGTCCTAAAATATGCTAATGCCTAGCACTTAAAACTGTCCAAAAGCTGCAAGCAAACCTGCACCGAAGAAAAAGAAAACCTGCACCGTCTAGCCCAAACCAATCCCAGCTGAACTCACCACAATTCACCTATTATGTGATATCAACGCTGTAATCTATGCTAGAAAGTTTCCAATCATTATAAATTCACAGAACCTTCATACTGGGACCTAACCTATTAAAGCAACCAAATATATATTCAACCAACTTCTAAAACACAACACTGCACCTCTTCAATCTCAAAGGAAACGTTACGTGCTCAAACACCACAACCTCATCTTATTTTCGTGCTTAACTAGAAGGGTAACATAGACCAAAGCTCCTGCCAAATCACCGAACTACAAAAAAATAAATGCAAGACAGCTGCACCTTCAAGGCTTAAAATAAAACGAATCCTCTACTAACCCGGAAATTTCATTGCACTAAGCTAACCCCAAATCAGCCACTGCATATCTAATACTTACACGTATCTAATTCTCTGAACAGAACATAATGCAACAGCGGAACTATAGTGAACCAGGAAAAATAAATACCACTGGACCAAGTCTATTTCCATGCATGAACCATTAACTAACTCACAATCAAAACAGCCAATATACTTAAGTCAGGTAGAACATCATACTTTTGTTTTTTATTACCTTTTTAATTAAGATTGCACACACCACATTAGTACAGAAACTATATCACAGACCCCACCTTTTCCTTTTTAGTTTATCTTTAAGAAGGTTTAGGAACTTACCTTCACCCAATAGCTAATGGCCATAAACAATCATCCATTCATATTTTCAGACTCGAAGTAATTCTTTATAATACAGAATTGCAGTGCACACAGGCCAAACCCATCAATCCAGACGTGTTCAATTCCTTCATGTAATTAGACCATTAAAACAGCCTTTTAACACATATAGCCGCACTTATGACACTACCTAAAATTTACTACACCAATGAATTCTTTTCAATAAAAGGAGGTTGTATAATTCATATAAATTGTCTTTGTGTGTTCTCGAGTGTTTTTCCATAGGTTCTTGATCCCAAGAACCTATCATTTGGTCCGACCTGCCGGATCGGAGTGGGGGTGAAGGATCAAGAAGTAATCGAGAAACTGCCGGATTGAGACGCCACCGGAATCGTGTGCGGGTGAAGGAAATTGCGGTTGATAGAATGAAGGCGCAGATAGGGGAGCTACGACCAGATTATGCTGCAATACGCCAAAATTATGCTGCAATACGCCAAGATTTGCAAGAAATAATGAGGATGATGGGGGCGCGGGCTCACAACAACGACGAACAATCAGGTGGAAGTCAGGCTTACGTCAAAGGGAACCAGCGACGGTGCGAGGAGGATATTGGAGGGAGAGTGGGTGGCGATTACGGTGGGACCCAAACCCACAATCACTGTGGCGATCACCAGGAGGTGCAAAATCAATGGCGGAAAAGGGGTGAATTAACCGCTTTCGAAGGGTTGGACCCGTTAAACTGGATCAATAGGGCGGAGAGGGTTTTCGAGCTTCAAGGAGTAGCGGAGGAGGAGAAAGTGCAGTTCGCGGACTTAAGCATGGAGGGCAGCGCGGGCTACTGGTTCAGAGCCTGGAAGGAGAAAGCCAAGAACCGTTCCTGGGATGGCTTGAAGGAGGCCCTGGTGATAAGGTTTGGAACCATTGTTGGGCGTTTGGCGGCATCGAAACAGGTGGCGACAGGGGAAGAGTATGTGCAGGGAGGCGAAAAGGTAAGAAAAGGGAGCGGAATAGAAGACGAGTCATCTGGGGGACGAACGCGAGAGTAAGCAGTACAAGGCCAAGTACTGTAGACCAGACCGAGCGGGATTAGCCGAACAGTCCGAGGCCGATCGCTATAACACAGGCAGATCAAGAGCTGCCGAGCAGTCAGACGAAATAGAAGACCAGTCGACATGGGGACGAACGAGCGGTCAGTGGACACAGTCCGAGGCCGATCGCTATAACTCAAGCCGATCGAGATTTGCCAAGCGGTCCGAGGACATA